AAATATTTACAAAAAGCATTATGATTTTACGTTATGTGTAAATATTATTTGATTGTGATTTGCAATTAGCATATATACATTTTAACGTTGTTACTATATAAAGACGCGTTCTATGAAGCTTGTTGTTTTTCCAAATTTAGAAAGTATGAGATATTACAAGAAAAATTGAAGATGATACAAATTTATTTTTTTTTTCGCCACCTGACTTATTGTTCGATTCTCTCACCATCGATTTTGAGCTGTCTTTTTACAAGAAAATAGATTTGCGATTACGTAATCATCTTGAAAATCTTGTATTTATTACCCAGCTTTCTCGGCGACCTCTGAGAGAATATCGTTTCGGTTGGTAATTTGTCATTTTTGGCAAAGGAGTGGAAGCAACGGAAAACATTGGTGTTGCTCATTATTAAGAAACACAACTTGAGCAACGGAAAATAATGAATCAGTCAAAACAAAGATGTGTATCAAAGTACTTTTTTAATGATGATAAATGAAATAATAAAATAGGTCTTCTTTGACATAAAAGAGTACATCTCGATAAATCAGCAATCCACTATTAATGTTGGTTCCCGATATTGACCTCATGATTAAGTTTTTTATTTTAACACTATAATTTATTTGCTCTGTGATATTAAAGCGCCAGAACTTCATCACGAATTTGATAATATTCTCTCAACGCTCGTACGGCGTATTCCATGAAATCATACTTGATGTCAGAAATTTCGGAGGAGAGCTAGAAAATAAAAAATTGTTGACACTATAATAAATAAATAAATTGCATTATTTGATTACACCTACCAATGTCCATACACTACAGTAGAAAAGGGAGGCAAGCCTGAATTTCGCTACTTCTCGATACAAATCTTCTACTTCTGCATCGGTAACTTCGGTCTCTATTTAATCCAAAAATTTAACTCGATTTATTCCGACTAACTTAATATATTATGGTATAGTAAATTAAATACATTTACCAGGATGAAACGATGATAAGTAATGACGGAGCCAAACAAGTTGGAATTCTTTAGTCGGGTATAAGCTATAATCACATTGCCATCCTAAAAATTACTCGTTCAATTAATTTTTTTCATATTCAGAATTTTCATTTTGTTAGACTAATGTTTACCGGCGAAAGTATTAAAATGATTTCCAATATCAAATCCACGATAATTATATCCGCCATACTCGAAATCGATAAACGCTACTGAGTTTTCGTGTTCTTTATAGATTATATTGGGATATAGCAAGTCGTTATGACAAAATACCACCGGATAATTGTTTTTTACGAGTTGTTCTTCGAGGAAGCACACCTTAAAGAAAAGAAAATTTGAAGTCAGAGAACAGAACAATTAAAGCAATTTAGTGAATGTCTATTTACCTCTTCCTTAAATTCAGATTGCTAGCGAATTTCTCGTTAGTTTTAGGGTTCGTGTACTTGGCAAAAATTATAATTAGTAATTCGAGAAGATATTAATTCGGATATTAGACCATTCTATTGCTCACCTTGATTCAACCACACTCGAATCTTGTCAAACAAAATTGGTTTCTTCGGTCCAGCAATATTGACTCTATGGAGTTTAGCCAAATGCTTAGCGACTAATGCGGATTTATTCGGGTCTTTAAGATCATGCTGAGCGAATGCTTCGCCTGGAATGTATCCATACACCGTTCCATTATTGAATTTTGCGTAGAGTGGAACAGCGAATCCAAGTATCGATAAGGCGACAACATTCTATATTATAAAGTGACAATATAAATGGATTTGATTATATATAAACCAAGAAAGAAAATCAATTTTACCAAGATTTCTTTCTCCCGATCAATAAAAATTTCGGAATTATTTCCATACGTGCGAACCAATGCCTCAAAGCCAGTTTTTTTATTAGTAACCTTCACAACTAAATTATCATTTTAAAATAAAATTCCTAGGATTAAATAATATTTGGCAAATTTATTGACGTTCACATTTTGAACATACGTTTATTCGTTAACCCACTCGTAATCTCAAAAAACTCCAATTCTTGTTCACTCCAATCCGGAAAAACGTTCAACAAAATATGAGTTGCGCCTTTAAATAAATTTGTGCGATCAATAGAGTAATCGAGGGTTTTTATTGTTTGTGCGATATGATTTTGGAGTGCCGTTGCGGATGTTACGTTAATTTCGGTGGATGTCATTTTTCATTTGACGTATCGGTACTTGGTATGACTTTTTTTATCGTTCTTGCTACGAACGAACATGTTTATTTCACGTGCATTTTCTTCATTGTTTATGTATTGGCATGTACGCTGACCAAAAACATTCATGAGAGAACATGTTCGTACATGTATGTACATGTACGACATAGGAAGAAATTTTTCTGATTGGCTAAACTCAATTACTTGTATCGGTATGTCATAACAATAAGATTACGTAGTACGTTGACTATCTACTTTAATAATACATGTACTTTCTTTATCTAGCTCGGTATGTTGACTATTTTTTAAACTCTTCTGACAAGTCTCCCAAGATTTCTGTTGATTCTTTCTGAGATTCCAGAAGTTCTCCAAGCTTTATGAACACGGTATCAGCCACGTGAGTGCTATTTTCCGATGATTCTTCTCGTTCTTCGTCGGTGAGTTCACAAACTAACTTAGGTTATACAATTCGGATGGTTAATCAGAATGACGAGCATATCACACAAGAAGAAATTCATATGATTGACTGGTTTGACGACTCAAATATGTAATTGACCAATTAAATTTGAGCATCAATTCGATTAATTAAATTTCGAGTAGCATGAAATCATATTTTTTATTTATTTGATTAGATAGTTAGTTAGATCCATCAGATTACTTACATAAAGCATTTCAATTATTAGCTAATTACTGTTGAAGAAATCGCCGTATCGCAGTGTTCCAGGAAGCTGAAATATCATCAACAGATTCTTTATAATTCAGGCAATACAAGCATTTGAATCCGTCTCGGCTAAAGCATATGTTATGATATGCATGACCCATGACAATACCCGACCTGTTTCTTCAGTAGTTATAATATTAGTAGTAAAACAATTAGAAGAATCACAATCAAGCAAACTAGGTTTGTAAAAAGAGCTATATCCTAAAGATAAATGACAGAGCCGTGCATCTTTCTTCTTCATTGCTGGAATAGAGAAACTGTTTTCAGCAACCGCTGTGGAATTAAAAATTGCATTTTCTTATAGTTAATACGAGTGTAAATATCCGAAAAGAAAACACGCAGTTTTCTGTATCAAAATTGTAATATCCCAAAAAAATATTGATTATCACTCAATCGTAAATAATTAATATATCGTGCTTCTTTTATTATTTGGCTTGCCGTAAGATGCTTTTCTGTATTGCGTCGTAAAAGATTGTGGAAGATTTCAACAGGCAAATCGGAGAATTTAGGTAATTCTGCCTTCATTGTCTTCAGGATTGAATGATCTTTTGATTGCCAATAGAAAATATCTGATAGAAACATCAAAGATGCTTTAGTATAATTCTTACAATAAAATGGTCCAAACTTGAAAACATGATTCAATGTAAGAGTTAAAATCACCAGCACGAAAGAATAAAGCATAAATATCAAGAACCAACGGAATTATGTTGTTCAATAGATCCTTAAGTGCAATATATTCTGCATTCTTGTATACACGACCAAATTTTACTTCAATTATTGCTGCAATTTCCTGTCATGCACCACATGAAAGTTCTAATAGTAAGTTTATATGCCATGGCTTTGGCTTTTGAGCAAGTGGTTTTCGTTCACCAAATATATATTTGTATATTGCAGAAAAAATGGCTGGTATTGGAGAAAGATTAACTCACGATTATTTAGCGAAATGTGTAGAAAACCCATCATTAGAAGGAAAAATAAAATTTCATCTGTAACTCCAGAGAAACTACCATAAACAAGATATCGTGATATAGCAGTCCTCAAGAATATTTGACCAGGTCAGTCAATCACGACCAGAATAACATTATCTTCTTTGATATACCTATTCATTGTAGAGATAGAAGTGATAATATTAGTAGTATTATTATAAGATTTTACTGAATGAAGGTCATTCTGCAAAAGATCTGCAAGCATCACGTCTTTCATTGATCTAATATTTCTTTTTTCCTTTAAATAAATATCATAACTATAAACAGTTAGCTCTTCAAGCTTTGTTTTATCATTCACAAAACAGAATCTCCAGTATTGATTATGAGGAAATGAATATAATGACATAAAATAATTTTCAATATTGATTTTGATCAATAAAGTATCAACTAATGCAGAATTATGAATATTTTGCTTTAATATTGCTAATTTATTCTTTATCAAATCAAGTAAGACAGTAGTGAAATACACTACAGTTAATATCGTAACTGTATTAGGTATTCTTTTAGTTGAATGCTGTAGTAATTATCAATATTTAAAATTATCATATTTATTAGCACTTTCTGAAAGTCTTGATTCTACAGTCATTGAATGCTTTTCAGATATAATATCCTTGTGATAAGAAATTATATAAGATGTTGTTATCAAGCTCAATGTTGTCAAACTATCTATTATCAAATTAAATGTTTTAGTAGAATCTAAATATATTTCAAGATCTCTTTTTGCATTATTAATGAATTTATTTTTAATATTACAAAGATAATAACATAAAAATACTAGTGATTTTGATATTTTTTCATTGTATCTTTGTTTTTTGTTAATAGGTTATTTGATAAGTATAATTCATTAAAGAAATACTTCAATTATTTATTTTTTGATTTTATAAGCATATGTAATGTTACAGCGATTCTGAATAGTGGGTTTCACTAAGAATCACTATAAGCATATAATGTTGGGAGAGGGGCGATTAAACTTAAGTAAAGAGAATGAATTATAAATATTAGCAAAGGTTTCTAAGG